TTGAAACCTCCACACTCTCTTCTCTTTCTTTTTTTTTTTTTTTTTTTTTTTTTTTTTTTAGGGCGATAACTTTTATGGGTTTTTCTTTTCGGCACTAGAAAGAACGGCCATCGTTGATGTTGTAGTTGTTGATTATGTTCTAGTTGGCGTAGTGTAAGGGCGTAGTGTGTCCAACGTCGATGTTGCCACATCCTTGGAACAAGATCGGGCGCCGCCCGCGGGAATGGAACCTGGGTACGTTGCCGCAGAGCTACGCCACAGCATTCACATGCCATATTTATAAAGGGTGATATCTTTTATTCGAAACAATGTAAAAAAAGGCGTATTTACTGCTACGTTAATGCAGTCTTCACTGTACATTTTCTGAGCTCGGCGGACATTCAAAGGGCAAACAACCGTCACTGTCTGGCGAGTAATTAACTAAAATTTTTTAATCAAGTTTTTAATTAGTGGAATTAGACGCAAGGTTTCAATTAGAAACTTACTGAGCGTCATCGAAAACAACTAAATCAACTCTTTTTACACCGACTTGAAGCTCGTAGGAAAGTCGGGGGCGCAACAAAGTTACCACTCGTGAAGCAGGCGCAAAGGCAGCATTGGCGGAACGCGGATCATTAGATTGTTATTGCGTTCCCCAAGTGCTAGCTTTGCGCCTGCTTCACGAGTGGTAACTTTGGCGCTCCCCAAAGTTTCCCACGAGTTTCCCACGTTTCCCAGCTGTTCTAAAAAGAGCTGATTCAGTGATTTTCGATGACGCTCAAAACGTTTCTAATTGGAACCATATGTCTATTTTCACTAATTAAAAAATTGATTAACGAATTTTAGTTAATTACTCGCCAGACAGTGACGGTTGTTTGCCCTTTGAATATCCGCCGAGCTCAAAAAACGTATAGTGAAGACGGCATTAACGTAGCAGTGAATCCGCCTTCTTTTAATCTGTTTCGAATAAAAAATATCACCCGGTATAAGTCTGGTTGTTAACGCTGTGGTGTAGCTCTGGGGCAACGGATCCAGGTTCGATTCCCGCGGGCGACGGCTGATCTTCTTGAAGTGTTTCTTAACATCGACGACGGACACCCTGCGCCCTACTACGCCATTAACAACGACAACTAGTACAGCTACAACATAAGAACGGACGTCGTTTCCAGTAGTGGAAAAAGCCTGTCACGACTATTGCCTAAAAAAAAATAAAAAGAAGCGTTAGGAGACGAAATGATCCGACCTCCATCTTGCTCAGAACTATTTTTGTTCACGCAACCCGCAGCAACGCTACTAAATCGAAGTCAGTTGACAAGCTTCTTCAGGCGCCTGGCACCTTTTTGTGGCACGTCCGCTCGGTTTCACTCGCATCGATATAAGAAGGCCCTATAGACGGACAAGGCGGAACCGGCGGAACGTTGGAAGAACATTTCTTCGAGTGGTAAGTTTTTTCTTTTTGTTTTGCTTTTATGGTAAACGTAACGTTTGCGCAGAATGGGCGTCCGAAAACGGGGCCTTCTCCGCATCCCGGGCACGCGTTTCCTGGTGGGGTACTCGAAACTCTACCCGCCCGTAACCGCGTTGCAGTATGGGGCCTTCACCGAACCCTCCTCGTCTTCTCCGGCCTACCTTCGAACAAAAACAAAAACAAACAAAAATATCAATATATGTATATTTCTCTCTCTGAAATACTTTACCACTGTGTACCGAAAAATGAAAATACCCCGAGAGCTGGGCTCTAATTTCGAATTAAAGAGAAGCGTAAACTTCCTTAATTTTCCTTAGTGCTCGTTGTTTGTCGGCGAAGGACAAGAAGAAAGGGCTCGCAGCTGCGCCGAAGGGCGGACACCTTGTGGTACCGGCATCTTTGTGGCGCTAGGCCGTCGTCGATAAGAGAAGGCCAGATTGTTGGCCCTCCTCGATCTCCGTGCTTCCGATCGAAGCAAGCCTCGGGATGACTACGAGAAACCGTTCGCTGCTCATAATTGGGTTTCGTCTTCTTATCCGGTGCGTCCATCTTCTCTCGAATCCTTTAGGTGGCGTTCCTTGTAGTTTGTTGCTTTCACGCTAAACCTTGGCCGTCTTATGCCTCGAAATAAATAACAAAACCAAGAAATAAAACAAAACTTGTTTTTTGTTGTTTTTTTTTGTTTTTTTTAATCCAGTTGGGAAACAAGTTGTCCCCGACACCCTAAGGCTTGATTTGTGTGCGTGTCGTACTAAAATATACATATATTAACTTTCCTTCATAGTGTTTATAAAAGCAAATTTGAAGTACAAAACCTCGTAATAGCTCAAAAACAGATTTGATGCGTGAATGTTTTAGAGGAGCGATATAAATATTTTCTACTATGAAATACTTAAGACCTCCGGCTTAGTTATTTTGTTAAAGGCGATATCTATTAAAATTTCCACTTTGGGAAATTACCGTTAGAAGGTAATTTTCCAAAATTTTCCAGCAGCTCGTGTTTATCACTTATTTTTAACCCGCACCAAAACCTCTAGGGGGACCGAAACATAAAGAATAAAAATATGTTACTTTACCGTGCTTTCTATGGTTTAGTGCCACTGGCGTGGGCATTGCACTGCCGCTGGCAACATCAAACAGCCCCGCAAATGCAGTCTAAAACATTCAAGACAGCCGCTACAAGTGAATATCACTGGGGGTCTTTTCGACTCGAGCCCTTCAGCCCGCTAAGAAAATAAAATATGTATGTTGCCGCCAAGTTAATAGGAAGTACTTGTCAACACGTGACTTTTATAAGTTGTCTCGACCGTTAAAAGTTTTCAGATCTCTTCAGTCTCGATTTTTTACGGGTGTTATTGCGTCGTAGCTCGGAGACCTCGTGGAAAACCAGAAAAACCAGGGGTAACAGGAAGATTTAAATCGCATTTTTATTGGTAACTCTTAGAAAAAGAAAAAAAAACATAGAAATATATGGCACATGTTGTAGAAAGGTATAGATTACACGTTCATTACGAAGAAACACCCGCGATCCTCTGTTCACCTTTAAACCCGATGATGATAATCTGAGCCAGAACAATTCTAAAGAGTTTAACGGGTAATTATTAACGTGCGATATCCATATTGTCTCTGTACACTCGCACCCTTCTCTTGAAGGGAATTAGGGAGAGCGGTAAAGAGGCGAGGCGGTTGAGCGATATAAAAATAGTCTCTCGGATAATCGTCCGCTGGAACATCCGCGCCGGTGATACGTGCCGCTCCGTTGAGCTGCGCGATCGTTGTCCACGGTCTAAGTCGCTGTGCTGCTCGCTCTTTTCAATTCTCGGCGGTGGACACCTGTAAAAAGAGGAAATCAAAGTAATAATACAAAAAAATGTATTGAGCTCCAGCCTGTCTTTTGTAGCTTTCTGGGCGAATTTGAGGAACTATAAAATATTAAAGCTTAGTTTGTTTTAGGTGGTGCTGATGAACCCCCTTTTAGGAGTATCCATTTTTTTAAAGTGAGTGGTGGGGGGGGGGGGGGGGGGGGGGTGATCTACCGTAACAGATATTGTTGAGACGTGGTAGTCAAACTGGCTAACGTCAGAACCGTTCACAACGGTAAGGTAAGTTTACCCTCGTTTGCTCAAATGCTACAAGCAGTCTACCTCTTTCGACATCAGTTCATGGATGTTGAAAGAAGACAAGAACAAGAGAAAGCTGGTGAACTAAGTGCATGAGAAAGCTGAAAGTATAAAAAAATATATAAGAAACCGGAAGACGACGAAAAAATTGAGATGGTGTGTAGGGTTGTCCCTTTTCGCCCCTTTTCTGGCGTCTGTTATATAGGCAACTGAAGTTGTGAGTATAATGAGGTATCCGAGAGTTCAATATGTAAGTGGTAATTACCGCACTCTTCAACATTCGAACGAAAACACTGTCACTCGCTTCAAGGTTTTTTTTTGTTTTTTTTTCTAGCTCTCTGAGGTGTACAGACTCTACGTTTACAACATCGTATCTTAAATATATATTCATATGTCTTGCGTAGACAAGTTCGTATGAACAGCATATAGGCAGTTGACTATATTCCGGAAAATATATTGTTCCACAGTGATGATGTCCGTGATGCTCGGGTGCACTTAGTAATGGGTTAATCTTGACATTAATAAAAAAAAAAAAACGTAACCTCTAACCTTTTTTGTGTTCACTTTTAAACAATTTATGTCTTCACTACAATGCTTCGACCTGCAGCAAAGATGACCGTTAATAGTTTTTTTCGAATTAAATTATTTTCTCTCGGAACTTCTTGCTGTGATTCAAAACCCGATAAACCCTGTTTAAAAAAAAAAAAAAACTGTTCGTAGAAAATATGGCTGTGTCAAGCGTGCGCATAATTAACAGCAAAAATATTGAAACTGTCTGCACAAGAGCGATGGCGAAACCTATATTTTACATTATTGATTTCTGAGCCCTGTAGCTAACGTTAATATCTGTAGTACTCTATTACCTTGAGTCAGTAAATACAATGTATGACATCGTCAAGTATAACCTGTGGTTCATTTGCTGTGTGAGATAACACGAAGTGTATTCGGCATACTTACCCCTAAGAAAGCAGAGATGATGGGTGAGAGGCTGTTTAGCCGGCTTCGCGTTCTCAACATCAGGCCGAGTTGCACAAGAAATCACCATTCACGGCTTCGCCGTCTGCGCGTACCACGCACCTTTCCGTGAGATCGTTTCTTTGCAGCACGGCATTAGTTCGCACTGTTTGAAGGAATGTGTGATGGCTCCCAACACACGGTCTACCACTCACGAGGGAACTCGTCTAACCAGTCACTGAGCAACACACTGTGGGAAACCATCAACCAGCGAATAACAATGATATCGATCCAGTTTGTTCGTCAGTTCGTCGCGAGTGGGGAGCGCAATTGCTATCACAGTATTCCAGGAGCGACGATTCCGCGAGAACTGTTTCGGTTGGCAACGGCGGGATGATAGTGTCTTTGTTATTGGATTGTTCCACGACGTTTACGTTGGTGGCGCCGCTTCTTCGTGTGCGTTTGTTCGTCGGGAACACTCATAGTCCGGTGCTTTTCTTGACGATCCACAGTTGGTTGTCCTCCTTGGGATAAATGGACGAGATCTGGAGCTGCGTGGCTTCTTCCGGACTCGCCGCTGTGGTTGAAGGACAAGCGTCTTCGTCGACTACTTCCTTTTTTGTCTCGCGAGCTGAAATTAAAAAAAAAAAAAAAAAACGATTACGCTCTTTGTTGGCACCAGAAATGACCTCACAATTGTGCAGTGTGCTACTAATATGTTTGAATTAAAGAAAAGTTTTAAAGCTGCATTTAGAAAAAAACAAAACTGACTGGGAACCGCTCGGAACTGAGAAGTACCGTGCAAGAGCCGAGTACTTACGGCGACAAGTTGAGCTAGTAACCTTCAGAAACTACCCCAATTAAATGGCTTAAATTGTAGAATCCGTAAAGCTGTCATGGGTCAAGGTACTATTTTTCTATTGTAGTTCTTTATTTATTATTCTTCGCCTGCGTTGACAGGGCTACGGCCAAGTGCTAGAAATAGTAAAATAAAAAGGATATTTTTTTTTCACAAGCCCTTGTGGAATCATTTTGAAACAGACTTACTCTTAACAAAGAACCTCTTGTTTTTCAACTTGACTGCCGCGAGGACGAAAACTGGCAGCAAGCAGAGCAGAGCAACCGCTGAGACAACGGTCACCAGCAGCGCGTTTGAGGAGATCTTCACAGTATTACCTGGAAACAAAGGGTGTGGCCATCAAACTTTCAGTTAAATATAACCTTCCTTTTGACCAATTCCAAGAATAGCGAGCATTTCGACATTCACCCTGCGCGCCTCAATCATAAATTTTTTTTGGCGTTACAAGGGGTCTCACGCAAAGTCAGCCAAGAAAAGAAAAGTATATGCTATATTCTTGTTAATATCACCTTGTTCTGTAATATTACCTTTGATTCTGTAAGTAAAACATATTTTTCTCTTAAACCGCACGATGGTTTTTAGACTTAAAACTTTGCTTTTTGTCTCTTTTTCCTGCAAGCTTTGAAACTAAATTAAGAACAAATTTGAAAAACAATATGCTATATAAAACATCATGTGAAATCGTCAGTTTATTTCTCACACAGCCTGACTGGTCCAACATAATTTACATGCCTGACAAGCCCTCAGAATAGTGCAAACTATGTTTGTTTGTTTTTTGTTGTTTTTATCTGACTAGGCAATAATAAAAGTCGTACGCTTTCACAGTCCAAGAAGCATCTATAAACAATATATAATTTTTTTTAAATTTATAGTGTCATATGTTTTAGGCGTGCAGCGATATTTGAGCTTAGAATAAATCTTACTTAGAATTAACCAATTCTAATATCAATATGCTTTACTTCGTTATAATGAGACGAACCGAACATACTAGTATGTTATGCATAGGTAATTTATACCCTCAGCTGTTTCATAGTATTGAACCGATAATTGTGCTAGAATATTATCACCTCTTTGTTGTACACGTTGAGTAAACTAAGTCACAAAAAACCTGTTCATTGTTTTTTTCTTAATTTTGGAATCGTTTTTGTTAATATTGTACGATTGTTAAAAATAAAAAGGTGCATTACAATATGTACCGCACTTTGCGTGCTCCCTGCTGAAAAACAGCACATCTCTTTTATGGTACACTGTAATGGTACCTATCACGTCAATTCGCAAAAAGAGAGAAATCAATTAATTAGGCATACTTCCATTTTGACTCTAAAAGCTGCGCTAGAATACTAGGCAGGTAAACTATCACTCTCGACACCAGTCTATCCCGAAAAGTTGAGATATAAATAAATAACAATATATATATATATGTATGTATATATATATATATATATATATATATATATATATATATATATATATATATATATATATATATATATATATATATATATATAAACGAACATATGCAGATGAATGAACTGTACTTAATCCACTGGATAAATATATATAAATATATATATATATATATATATATATATATATATATATATATATATCAAATCTAGATAAAACTTATAAAAATTTTATATGCGCCAATCTTGCTCCAGTTGTTTTTTTTTTTTTTTTTTGTAAAACAAGTAGCGAGTTCCTCTTCAAGAATAATGCAAAATGTAAAAATAGCATTTATTGGAATTCCTCATACCAGGCCAGTTCACGCAGAGGCGTTTTGTGCAATGCAGCACTAGATGTGACACGTGACTTTGGGCTCACCGGACTTGGTGAGCTTTCCGACGAGCGGCATAATGGGCGGCAGGATGGTGAGCTCCGGGCTTCGTCCCCGCTCGTTGACAGCCCACACGACCAGGAAGTACTCGACGCCCGGCAGGAGCTCGTGCACCCAGAAGTCCGGCCGGTCGGCCGTGAAGTTGGCCGACAGCGCGGCCGTCATGGCGTCGTGCACGGTCAGCTGAAAGTGGGCCGGCAAGTGTCCGTCCGAGCCGGCCTGGCACTCGAGGTGAAGGGACCCTTCCGTCTGGTTCGTGATGGAGCAGTTCTCCACGGGACCCGGAGGCCCTGCTTTGCCGGGAAGGGAAGGGCAGTCATCGAGCCGATGGAATGTCAGCACCGTGCTTCGAGGGTCATGCGTCAACATCTCAGAGTACGCCGAAAACATATTTGTGCGTATGTTTGGACGTACATCCCGCGACACTGTAAGCACAACGGAGCAATTACTGTTTTCTTTTCTTTTTTTTTTCTTTTTCCTTAAATCCTAAAGGGTGTTATTTGCGCCCCTTCTATGGTGCAAGGTGTTCTTTTGGGGCGTTAACAACAGCAGAAGATCGTGGGGCTCGCCATTTCTATGTAAAATTAAAAAAAGGCCAATGTCATACGTTTGCAGCCAAGTGTTGTGCAGTCTACGTATGCGTTTCAATGACAAATGGTTAATTTCGTCCCAGACATCTCGTATATGTATATTAAGTTGCATAAACTACCGTGTTTGTCCAAAGACTTATTTCTACATTTCTTCCAAACAATACAATCCTAATTCGTCAATCCATGTATGCTCCTCTCGCCCGTAGTGGTTGTAAGTTTGAGGTAGATAAGATAACCAAGAATCTCGTTAGTTTTATTAGAAGACCAATTGATTGGACATTATTGCTTCAAAGAGCACGTGGCACGTACAAACCAAAGGCTCTATTTATATGATTTACATATATGAACGGTGCAAGCAAAGTTATTATCAGCGAAATTTCGAATTACTACTTCTTTCCGGTACAGCCCGGGCCTGACACGAAAACGTTTGCATTGTGAGCCGTTTAAAGTTAACGAGCAATGTTTATTCAAAGTCACATCTCGAAACGGGAATCTTAATCTACGTAGTGCATCTAGCACAAAGGAATGACATAAACAACGCAATCGGTAAAGAGACCCACCTGCTTGAACGACGTGGAAAAGGCATGGCATCTTCTGTTTTCCGATGCGGTTGGAGGCCGTGCACAGCAGCGTGCCGTACTCTGTGTGGCTGTGCGGAATGTAGCTTGCGACACTGCGTGTGCCGTGGCTAGTAAAGCTCTTGATTGGTCTGTTCTGAATGGAGCTGTTAAAGTGCCACTCGAACGTTACGTTGGTCGGGTCTGCCTCCACCTCGCAGTGCACCTCCACTTCCTGGTGCCGAGAGGCAGCGTACACCACGTTCTGGTTTTCCTTGCACAAGGGGGCGTCTGCAAAAACACGCGAGCAAATTCTACAGATCAAGGAAATATGATTGTTTGAGAAGGCATATTCACGTATACAAAACTCATTTCTTCTGACGCGATACATACGACTCGGTCGACAGGAGCCACGGAGCTCATTTTGAGATTTCTGTAAAATTGCAGTCTTGCAGCACTCGTCGTTTTATCCCGTTTTTTTAGAAGCGATATTTTAGGTTTAACAGTCTGACGAATAAGATACACAACCACGATAATCAAAAAACCTTGAACAGTCAGTTTCCTAATTGTAATGTATGTGTTGCATTGTAAATATCCTACAAGAATTATTACATTTATGTTTGTAAAATCTAATAGAATTATATCATTAGAGTTTAAATTCATAAGAAACAAAAAATAAGCGTAATTTTATTCTTCAACAATCTGAATAACAAGTTGTCTCCAACTAGTGTCTCAGTTGTTCACATTTGAACTACGGTGAAACAAGTGACTCAGCAGTCTGTAGTGACAGCAATCACGTACTCTCCGCTTTGACAGCACTGAAACAAAGCGAATTGATCCCATTCGCGTGATATTCCAGTTTAAAACTAAAATTGAGGTATTGAGATATGCGTAACCCACTAAAGAGGATTACTCTGGCTCTCCAAACCCCCCTGTGTTTTATGAATGTTTCAATTATTTCACAGAAATAAAAATGATTGCCGAGGCCATCCCGGAACATACGTTTATTACAAAAAAAAAAAAAAACAAAAAAAAACGAACGAATAATCCGGAAATATTGCCATTCACAGAAATTATAGGCTAAGAGAAAAAGAAAAGAAACTTGCAGCCGACGCAGGCACGCGATAATAGGACTTGGCCCACGCCTGAAGTGGACAGAAATAAAACTAAGACCACCTGTCGTAAACTCGGTCGTAGACGGCGATTTTCAATTTTCCCCATCATCAAGTCAAAATAAACTCAAAACGTTTTATCGCAGGCACTTTGCAAGAGCAAACCCGATCCGATGTAGCACAACGTTTAACATTTTACAACCTACTGAGCCTAGTAAACCTATTTTCTTACTGAACATTGTTATTGTTCAGCCTGGCCTAGTTGAGCAAAAAGTGCTCTGCATATTTTAGATACTGCTTCAAGTTATAACGTCATAGCTATTCGCGTTATTCTTAAGTAACTTTATGTTAAGGAAGTAATTTTTGGCTGGAAAAAAGTATACTAAAGAAGAACTCGCGCCCGTTGTTTGTAATATGAGATCAAATTTCGCCTACTTTCACTGCTTCGACTTGCTACCTTCAGAAGAAATGACTCACTTTCTGTCCTCTTCTTACCGTTGGTTCATACCTCGCCATATTCTCATATCTTAAGGAGCTTCACTGAGCGTGCAGGGCATTAGAAGCGGTTTTTGAGATTTTTTTAGACCCCTCTTATTTCCTAAGTTTGCATGGCAGCAAGCCACTGCAAGTCAAAGACATTAGCTGAAATAGAATCCAACTCACGTTGCACGCGTAGCTGCAGCGTGTCTCCCTGTGTGCGGCCCTGGGCGTTTTCGGCACTGCAGGAGTAGAAGCCAGAGTGGTGCGTCTGCACCCGCTGGATCACCAGGAAGTTCTTGCTGACCAGGAGGTTCTCGGAGGCCTGCAAGTCCTGGCCGTTGAACTGCCAGCTGACTTCGTCCACGGCTGGGTAGGCGTCCACTCGGCAGTCCAGGTACACGTCGTTGTTCTCCTGGATGTTCTCCAGGTTCAACTTGGTGCCCAGCTGAAGCGAAATCTTGGGCTTGTCTGCGAAAAAAAAAAGGAAAGCAATATAAATAAAGAATGATAGGTCGGCTTTCAACGCTGGGTGGATAAACAATATAGCGACCATGCTGGCGCAGGCCGTACCAAAATGCAGTAGTAGCTTAATACACTAAAACCCTGAGACTAAGAAGAATGAGCGACGGCATGACACAGAAGTCTCAAACACAGCTCTGACTCTGTTGTTTCTTATTCTTCTTACTCTGTGAATTTTATTATATAATGTTCAACCATCATCAGCTTGTTTGCGCCCTAAATTTGAGTTCACAATTGACTTACTTCTAAACATTAGCAGCCCCACAGAGGAGTAGTTACATCACCGACACAAGAAAGGTACCATCCAAATATAGTTTTCATACAATATAAACATTTTGGCGTATAAATATGTTATAGAGGATGATTAAGCGCGTGGCACCACGGAGGAAAAATCAGCACATGTCCTTTAAATTAGGCAAGTGGAGGCATCACCCGTCACCCTTAACTGATGTCGTCAGCGTGGCAGTGGTGCCTCCAAAAACGTAGGCTACACAATGGTCTGTGTGAATGCATCAATAGACGAGGTAACGTGACCACCATGAGCCAAATTTGGCGTGCCATGGGTCGCCGTAAATTTATTAAATTTTGTTAAGTTCACGCATATGAAACTGTAATGGCCTTTGCAGTATCACCACCGACGCAGAAGGTGTCATCGCCCGTCGTACTTTACTTTCATTGGCTGGCATAAGCGACCACATGACCATAACAACAACTAACGACTTTTTCGTCCGAAATCGTAGTATGGGTATCGGTAAATAGAGGATTACCGCAGGAGTTTTCAATTCAAGCCTTGACTTACGTATGATGATCTTGTCGGGTATTCCCGGCAGAAATGCCAGATATTACCATAGCAAGATTTGGGTAAGTAAAGTCCTACATAGCCATTGTATATATGCGACCAGGTATTGCCTTATTTGAGCAACTTTTTTTTTATACACTTCGGCATCCCGGATTTGTACGCGGGATGACCAAATTACTGCCCTCGCTTGCCAGTGTCTGCCAATGTCAAACAAGCTGAGTCTCGAAAAAATATAGTAAACTTGCTGAGTCGTCTAATAAAAGCCTACAGATGCCTTACATTGCACGTCCATGCTCCAGGTGTCCTCCTCCACGCTCTCGACCATGGCCGGGTTTTTGGCGCGGCAGGCGAGGTTCGAGCCGTGGTCCTCGCTGGCGGGCGTGAAGGACACGACACTGGTGGTCACGTTGCCGTCCGTGGACACGTACACGAAGGTGTGGTTCAGCTGCTGCAGGCCCTTCCACCACGTGACCACCGGAGGCGGCCGGGATCCCCACACCTCGCATACGATCTCGGCCGGAAGTCCCGCCGAGATTGGGATGTCCCCGCGGCGAATCTTAACCGCAACGGGACGCACTGGAAGCGAACATCGCGCAACCTCGGTACATTGAGCGGCTATGAAGGGGGATGCGTATCGGCTTATTTATGATTAGTTGAGTAATATGATCTAAATTATTCAAACAACGTTATTAGTGTTGTAATAACGTTGCTACACTCAATAGAGTGTGCACTCTAACGCTAATAAGTGATAACGCTAATAACAGCGTTATTAGTGCTGTGAGGACGTTGCTAAACTTTGGAGGGTCTACTTTCCTGCAGAGTTCTTGAGAGAGCCAATCGCTGCTATATGCAGAGGGGCAAGGCACATGAAGAAAGCAGACCTTTTAAATTTCTTAGAGTGTAGAGTCACTGAGAGTCGAAGAAACACGCGGCGTGGTGATTCTCGATCTTGCTATTTTCGTTTTTGTATATGTCAATGGTATGGCGACATTAGCCTATACAAACGCCGAGAAACAAGTCACGCAGCAAGAAGTCTTAACGTACCAAGCCATGTTTCCTTTTTTAATGAAGAGGAAGGGAGGGTATTACCTTAAAATTAGTTTTTCTTATGTCACATTTTAACAATTAGTTTTATCAGCTTTGAAATGTGCTGATGGATGCTGTCGTAAAGTATCACTCCTGCAACTAAAGTACTTTTTTTTTTAAGAATGCATTATGTTTGACGTGCGGCTACTGTCTAAAGCTCAGTTTACTGAACTTACAAACGCGTTTATTTTAGTTTCACGTTTTCGCATGAAACCTCGATTCAGGAACACTATAATTTGATAACGAATTGATGTGTGAAACCACGTTTTGAAGTTTGTGTACTTAAATAGTGTAAGGAACGTCACTCCGAGCTTACTTTCTGCAATTTCATAGTTTTTCTTTATGAAAAACTGATGTATCGTACGTAAACCTAATTCACGCAAAATAAAATAACATTTTTATTTTATTTATTTTTAATAAAATGGTATAATATCTGTAATTGCTTCATATAGCCACGTTACACGGGTGCTATACTGCGTATTTCACCAAAATAACCATCCATCATTATTTCATTTTTTAAACAATAGTTTTCTTTAGATGGCGCTGCGTTTATTTTATGTACTTTTACATTACTTCTCTGAAGGATACACTTGTAAACTTAAAACTCTGCACGTCATCCTGTCTTTGCAGCTATGAGTGTGTCCGGCAACTTTCATAAATATAAGAGTAATGGTTGGAATGCTCGCCTTTGAAGCGGATATAAAAAAGGCGGGCATTGGTTCATTCATAATTAGATGAGCAATATAATTTAAATCATTCAAACATTGTTCCTAAAGTCACCGATAGTTTAAGAAACGCGGGGGCATGGCTTATTAGGTTCGTGCTTTGTGATTAGTTCTCCGGCGTTCTTATTAGCGAATGCCGCCACCTGATTGGCTAAGCAGCGATAATGAGGTGATCGGGAACCGCCACGCTTTGCTGTCAGTTGCTAGAGTGAAATAATTCAACGTACACAATGAACTGTATTAGAGCTCTTAGCACGTTGCTAAAAGAGTGCCGTATGAAATAAATACATTAAAAATCCTGCACTTGTCTTCGTCATTTTATTTGCGTACGCAAAAACAGTTAAAGAGGTTACAATGTTATACATTCGTGCAAGCACGGCGAGATGACCCCGATCTTATTAGCGACGCGCGCTCGACCAAAAGCGTACCTATGGTCGCAGTTCGCGATTGGCCTAACCTTAACTTCCCCATTTCCCGTGTACTAATAATTCCTGCCCAATCGCCGGTTTGCGGCGAGGCAAATCCTGCCAATCACGAGAAGGTGGGGCACAATCTTCTCAATCAAGGCGAGGCGAATCCTGGCCGTGACATCACGAATGGAAATTATGAGGGGGCGCCACCGAAACATCTAGGCTCTAGCACTTGTTTCACCATAAGTCCGGCGACGCGGCCGACGCCACGAGTTGATCAAACCAATGAAGACAGGTCAAAAGCTCACAAATACATGGTGTTTGTAATGTTTTCATGCTTGTTTCATTATCGTTGAACTAATAATATTTAGGGAAGTCCCAGTGACGTGCGGTTTTGGCACTGTTTGATTGGTTGCATCGGCTCGTTGCGTCAACTGCGTTCGGACTTAAGTTAAACCAAATACACCGCGGGCAAGTGTTCGAAAAAGCGTCTACGCATAGCCTTCTCTATACTCTCAAAGCCTGGCAGTTCGACGACGGAGCCATAGAGTGCCCGATCGCAGATTTGGAGCGCGAGGATATGGTAGCACAGAGCACCAAAGAATCATATCGCAGAGCATCAAAGAACGCGGACGTCAGCGCAGAGCTTTTGCAGTGGCGAGAACCCGAAACATGGTTTTCAAACGACGAGAAAAGAAGCGAAGGAACGCGAGAACCACGAGCGGACATTCCATTGCTCGGGAGAAGTGTGTTTCGGCGTCTCACCGCAGCGGGGCGCCAGTCACGTGGCTCTCTTCCTATCCGTTGTCTGCCGCTCCGCCTTTTCCATTTCGGCTGCCGCTTCTCGTGGCGATCTGCCAGGCTTTGTTAGTATAAAGGAGGTTATGGTCTATGACACATTGAAGCGCAAAAAAAGGCACGCCAACCGAAGGGCAACGAGGAGAAGGCGCAGAGAACGCGCGGCGACGATGCAGCCAAGCGTACGCCGTCATTGGTTTGACATCGGGGGAAAACAAAAGCACGCGAGTTCATCTGGGCGGCAAACAAAACGCACGAGGTGCGCTAAGAGCGGGCAAAGCTTTCAAGCCTCGTAGAAAATACGAGGACATCTATGATAAGACGAAGATTCACAGAGAAGTTGACTCGGGGAGTCCCTCACGGTTCAAGTCCAGCGTGACGGACGTGGACGCCGGCGACGAGATGTTGTTGGATGCGGCGCAGTCCAGCGTCGTGCGCAGGTCTTCCCGTCTTAGCGCGTGGATGAGCAGCGTCGAGGTGGTCAGCTGAGCTTCCGACGAAGGCCGGATCTCGGACATCATGCCCTCCGGGATGCCGCTCCACACCAGCGTCGGCTTGGGTTTGCCTGAATCGAGATAATCGTTCGGATTCTTGTCGTAGCCTTTGTGTTGTTGGCATGTAAGTGACCAGCTGATAAAGGGTAATTATGTACCGGTTCTTACTCGGAAAAGACAACCGCATTTGTTAGAGCGCAGTTCCTAGGCGCCCGTTTCCGCATGAGCGGCGTCGTCGTCGCCGTCGCCGTCTGCGTAACCATACGCGTTGCATTATGGGACTAATACAACCGCGCGTAAGCGCGCGTTGCATTATGGGAAAATTTCCCCGCTAAATCTAGCGGGGAAACTTTTGAAATTTTTCTCGCAATATTTAGCGGATGATTTAGCAAAATTTTCCCGCTAAATTGAGCAGAGGAGGAGAGGAGGAGGGGAGCGTACGGAGGGGGAGGAGGTATTTACCATCCCCTCCGTACCCTCCCCTCCTCCCCCTCAAGAGCTGCGCTCTGATTCGGCGGTACAGAAAATTGTAAACATCTTTAATTTTTTTTTTTTTTGCTCGAGCAACTAAGTTATGTTTTGCAAAAAGCTCAAACTCTGACAACGTGAGACTAGTGGTGGGAATAGGATGCAAAAGTTTGAGACCATGTCGGGATTTTAATCTAAAGATAATTGACAAAGACAAAATTCATTTTTGATACGACGTTCACTTAAGCCTAATATCGACAAAACTTAGAACTGACATTGTGAACGCATGTGGAATTTATATCAGTGGAAATACGTCCTTAGCTAGAAAGAGAATATTGCTCCCCTTCTTACTGACAAGTCTTTTCCCCCACTGAAATAGATACAACAAGCACCCACACTGCCATTCCTTGTTTTGACGCTATAAAGCTTAGGTTGATGACGGCTCATTAAGAAATTTCCTCTTCCTCACTCCTATTTTGATCCAGGTAATGTCATGTTCTCAAATGCTTCCGTTCTATATCCCAACCGCAAGCGTCACAATCTCACGGAGTTGGAGCGTTTTGCGATGCATAGTTTATTTACCCGTGCCAAAGAACACGGTTTTACTTTTCTTGGAAACGCCCTGTATATCAACAACGCTATAGAAATAGAGTGCCGGAGACGCATCTTCGCCACTTTTGCTCACCAAAAGATGATGTAAAAAAAAGAAAAAAATTTCAACCGTGGTTGCCGCGGTTGCGCTCTTTTCTCTTTCACCCAACCTCTATTCTTCTACATGAGCGAAAAAACAAGTGTAATCTACAACCACTCCCCCTACTACCCCCCTAAAAAAAGAAAAGATGAATTACGTTCTTCTAGTTCAAAAGCAAAGTTTACGTAACAACAACAAAAAATTCATCGCGAAATATTTTCTGTGGCAACTTACCCCCATATACAACACAGACCAGTGCCAGGGTGCTCCCTTCGTTGTAGGGACCGATGGTGCTTCGAAGTTCATTGCCCGCGCCATCCCGAATCACCGGAGGCTCAGGAGGCGCTGTAAAAAAGAAAAAGAAAATAGAAAAAGCGAGAACGACGTGAGACACGGAGAACCGAAATCAAAGAGCGCTCAGCTATTCCATCCTTCAAAAACGTCGTCAAATAACGCAAAAACAAAACGCTTCTGCATTTGCCTTCAGCACCTTGCATACTCAAGAAGAATATATTTTTCGAAAATTCCGCACAATCCTTTGCTTTTCGTGGGCGCTTGAAAGCGAAGAGCAAAATTGATTCTAGTCGAGCCAAGAAAACCCCCGGGGGCAATTACAATGTGGGTTCTTGCGTGCCGCGAACTATTGAAATTGCTGCCTTTTGCGAGGTAATTCTTGTCATCTCCTCTAAGCCATATTTACATACTACGATAAAACTGCGTCGAAAGAAATTATAACTCCGTGTATCGAATCACGTCTCGTTTGCATTTATGTCTGCGTGTGCGCAAAGAAAATAACGTTCTCGAAAGAAGGAAAATATCCGCAACGTCACCCGGAACAACAAAAGGTATTTTGCAATATACTTCTTCATCCGAATGTATATTACCAAACCACAAATACCGAATACACTAGAAGCGTCTTGTGTCGACATATTTTGTTTTTATTTATTGATTGATAAGCGTACTTTTATGCTTACCTTTTTATGCCTACATTCCAATTGACTCGACATTTATATATTAAATTCCTATCGTTCTTTTTTTAATGTGTAACAACTATAAAATGCATATTCTAATACGGTGATGTCTTGTTTCTGCGAACATTTCCGTGCCCCAAAAGAGGCTTACATGTGTGTTGCTTAGTGATAAAACAAAAATTAATGTATTTCCGCAGCCCGTCCTCGACAATGTTGTCAACATAACGGCGTATCTATATTTACGGGGTCCATACTAACGGTCCATGGTTGTACTTTCTTAACGTAGCATTTTATGCAACATGAAACAATAAATATTAAGACGACACATTTTTCCGCGCGCGATGCACTGGCACCCAGTTCGAGACATCGTCGCAGGACCCATTAAAATTACTGCTAACACTCAACCGTCTGTACCAAACCGATCGAGAACAACAACATTGGACATTTGCATCGTTCCGCTTTTGTATTCTTTCTACAAAATAGCACTTACATCAGGATAAAAACGGCGCGGTTCTGAATCACAATTAGCTAACATGTCCAAAGGAATGACAGTTTTTTTTTAAACTCTGTGCGATTCCACCATGTCATAATCAGCTGTATAATATCGAGCGCGACATTATAAATACTTAAAATTAAAATAACTTTTTTGGAGGTCTGAACTTTAGCTGCGCCAAGCCTCAAACGCGGACATTATTCAAGACATGTAAAAAGGAACCCATACTACTATGTGACCGTGTCTATTAAAGTAGCAAAATTTTGGCAGCAGCCCCGCCCCCCCCCCCCCCCTTTCTCCTTAGAAATAAGCAAGCATCCGTGCTCGCCGTCGCAGTACGTCAATAAAAAAAAAGCCGTGTTTTTTTTTTTTTTTTTTACATTACCGCTTAAGCACACCACGCGTTCTTTTTCAGTGTTTGGGTTTTTGCATTGTAATAACATCACACATCGTCAGCATTTCAAAACGGCACTCTATTCAATAGGGTAATGCTCGCGGAAGCATAAAGGACAAGTCATTAAAGATGCCACATTCTGTGGCGGAATAATGGAGTATACACGGATGAAAGAACCCTAGTCGATGATTGCCTCTTCGCGAGCTTCGGGTCCGTGGGAATTCATAACGAATCTGATATAGTTGGGCTGATCAATAATAAAAATTTGGGAGAAACAATCCCCGGATGAAACTATAGTTACCTTTCTTAGTCAGCTCTGTGTTTCGCGTTCCATTCTCATTATTTGGCTGTCTGAAGTAAGTCTCAAACAAATCACCTCATCCCTAAGGAAGAGGAACCGGATTGATTAAGCGATTTGGGGTGCACAGGGTTGCTCGCAGATAGGGGGAAATCCGAATCAAGCCAGAAAGCCTCGGGCCACCTTTCACACAGTGCTCACATTTACAGTTACTGATATAGTGAGAGGGCCGAAGCGTGTCTTTCGCTGTTCCCGACTTCCAAATGCTCAGCTTTCCGATGCCTGGCATTGGGATTCCCGGCGAATGCGTGGCGCAAAAAACGTGGAGCACGTGCTCCACGCCTTCGGCCGTGCTTCGGCTGCGCGAGTTCGCTCGAAGTATACGAGACATCGAAGCGTCGTCAAAGATAGGAAGCCAGCGCCGGAGGTGGGACCATGGAAGCTCATCCGTATATGTTTGTCGTCTTGTCCGATTTAGTGGGTTGATACTGTAACAGTAGAAACCCACTAAATCTTCCATACAGAACTGGAAACAAAACAAAAACACAAACAAATCATTCAAGCAATCCTCCTCGAGACTTTCAAGCAAACCCAAGCAAGCGTGGATTAATACGCAACCGCGGAGGTACTAAGCTAATGGCACATGGAGTAATATAATTATTCTAATCGCAAAGAGCTCGCAGTACCGACTACGGAAGCCCTCGGGAAATTTCACGGAGTTCTTCTCTCGGGCAGACTTGGGCGAAACAGCTCGCGAGGTGTATGCATTCCACGCACTTCCCATCTTAGCAACGGCAGCCCTTTCAAATCGAGTGTTTTGGCTTAAGGAGATTAGGAGCGGGCAACACTCCTTAATGGATGCCGGTACAAGGAGGCTTAGCTCGCGGCTGCCACGAGACTGTGTTACGAAGTAGTCGGCGCGCACTTGTGCAAGCACTAAGTTAAAGAGCCGCGTCGCGCAGTGCTGAGTAGTTCGGGAGCTCCGTTGCCTCGAAGCCATGTATGATGTGTTTACACAACATCGTGAAGGGTGATAATTGTTGAATTCGCCTACAGATATTCGTTTCTTTTAGGCAAGATGACGCGTGAGGAACGAGTGAAAAAAGAAACAGTAAGCAGTTAGTTGTACCAGGTTGTCCGAATTGCTCATGTCCAGCAAAGGCACCGAGAATATTTTGTCATTTCCTAATTTCCCGCTCTCCACACTTCTATATGGCAATCTTTTTAACTCAAGGAGTGTTTGTTTGTTGTGAAATGTATAAAATAGTCAGTACAGAAAGTTTATTTAGATAATAATTACCAAATACCACCAACTGTTTTTTTTTCTATTTTCTTTTTGGGGGGGGGGGGGGGGAGGGGGGAGGGGTTGATTGCTTTCATTACGTAGGAAAGTGATTCGTCGTTTTTTATTTGTTTAAACTCTCGCAAGTTTCAGCAAAACAAAACGAAAGCTCCTTCTGGGAAAAAACGGCTAGCCACAGTGGACATTGGAAAATGCGAGAAACATACCAGTTCGTTAAATCATTAAACAAAAATTTCCTAGCAACGTTTTCTGTAAGTGAAGATAAACATGGAATTTCTACTAGACACCTGCTGAGCATGATCGCAAACAACTATGTCAACTTATTTTAGAAAGATATAAGTCAGGTAAACCAATATACGTCGTTAAAAAAACGATTAATTTGGACACGTATTTATTTTTCGGTTTCCAATCGGAACGCATCATTGCGCTAATGTACTGGTGCCCGGTGGCCAAGGCGCGAACCTACCACCCCCGTGGTTGGATGATAGAAAACGCAGAGATGCGCTCCATTAAAAAATTAAACACTAAAAACGCGTCAAAATTTGCGTTTTTTTTTTTTATGTGCAAAATGCTATTCGCTTTATAATTCTACAAAAGAAAAGCTGTCTATATCGATTGATTAATAGCGCCACAGCTGTCAGTGATGTATCTGAACCAGTTGAATCTGAAGATAAGTCGAATGTTACAATGCACGCAGGGGGTTCAGTGTTAATTAAAAAATACGTGGACGATATTTTGGTAAGTTTAAGAGAGGAGGGTCTGTTACCAAGGATAAAAGACGTGATCACCTCTGCAGCACTAGGGTTGGGGTTTACGCGTGAAGAACCGCGTGAGGGTTGGATCCAGTGCTTGGATATCAGGCTGTATGTGCGTTAAGAACTATGTTAGGAGTACGGCAAAGTGGCGGCAAAACCCTTGTTGCCATTTAAGAGTTGCCATTCTAATTTAGTCAAAAGAGGAATGGTCATGTTTCTGGTGGATAGTGCCTTAAAAAATATTGTTCTCATACGGGACGAGGTTCAGCGGATAACCAAGTGTCTCGGCTTAAAGGGCTCCTGAAAAAAAAAAGTGTTTTTAAATATTCTGGCTGGGACACCAGTAACAAAAAATTACGTTTACGCAAAAAAAAAAAATGTATGGCAATATTAACGGTGCGAGACGCGATTTAGTGGGTAGTCACCTCCTTTCCACTTGTCTTCTATCTCGGCATTTCGGGCGAGTGGAGATGTGGATCGGCTTCGCCTTCACGATGAGGTGGAAAGAGCGAATTACCATCTCGTTGAGTGAATGACCATTCCGTGACGTCATGGACTTCGCGCGCAGAATTTCAAATAAATCTCTCGCCATCAATATTGCTCCAAAGAATAATTTTCGCGTAAAGTTTATTTTTTGGCACGCGTGTTCCAATCAGACTATTCAAAGAAGCAGTTTTTCTTTCTTTTTTCAGTGCCCTTTAAGGAAGCGGGTTCCAGTGGCAACATGGTAAAAGGGTAGTGAGGAGTCTGGTGCTGAAGATGAGTTGGATAGCAAAGAGGCAAAGGACTCAGAGTGACAGGGCAGTGTGCTGACGCCTTTTTGGGAGGCCAGAAGGTTGTAAAAAAAAAACACAAAAATGCTTCAGTCGACTGCCACGATGGCGTTGTTTATAATATCTCGATGAATTATGATAATATCATTATTTATTACGTATAAGCATAGTGGGAGCTGAGCAAAAAAGCTGTCCAAGCAGCTTGACTGTTCCGCAGCCCCCTCATGTACATAAAAGTGGCTAGAAATACATTTAAAAAGAACACAAGAATTTACAAACGAAAAGGTGTCTGTATGCTCGGTTGAGGGGGCACAACAGAGCAGTAAAGAATAATTTGCCGAACTACGAAATCTCTAAA